AAAATAAATGCTGAAAAAGGTGCCTTTCAAGATGGCAGACTGGGGCTTAGATGGGAGGAGGGGGAGCTTAGAAGAGGGAGTCTGTGAACACTGGTGGAGGAAAGCTGACACCGGTGGTGGGATTGGTGATGGTACACTGTATGTTAAAAACCCAACTATAAATAACTGTATAATTTATGGTACTTTAACAAAATAAAATTGGTGGGGGGGGATACTGTAACAGAAAAAGAAGACTTCCTTGAATGGGTTCGTGGGTAAACTGGCACAGTCATGGAAAGAATCTGTGGACTTGAAAAAACATTAGTTGAAATTTCTAAAACTAAAATTCAAAGTGACTCATAAAACAGGGATTAAAAGCAAACACACAGCATCTGCACTTCTATGCTTATTGCAGCACTATTCACAATAGCCAGAATCTGGAAACAACCTGAGTACCCTAGAACAGATGACTGGATAAAGAAACTATGATACATCTGCATAATAGAATACTACACAGCTGTTAGGGAAAACGAGGTCATGAAATTTGCTATAAATGGATGGACTTGGAGAGTATCATGCTGAGTGAAATCAGTCAGAAGGAGAGGGACAGATATAGAATGACAGCATTCATTTGTGGAATATAAAAATAGTATAAAATTAATATCCAAGGCCAGGGAAATCAGGTCAGGAGCACTGATCAATGGTTGGAAATCACCACAAGGGTGTGGGGGGTGGAGGGTAGTGTCCATTATTGAAACATTGGAAATAATAACACTGGAAAAGAGCTAAGTGTTGAAAGTAGGTAAAGGGATATACATGATAACCTTTAAGCATTTGAACTGCAAACCATAATGCCTAAATGAGAAAGAGAAAGAAGAAAGAAAAAAGAAAGAAAGAAAGAAAGAAAGAAAGGAAGGAAGGAAGGAAGGAAGGAAGAAAGAAAGAAAGAAAGAAAGAAAGAAAGAAAGAAAGAAAGAAAGAAAGAAGAGAGAGAGAAGAGAGGTGCAAGCCATAGAAGCAGGTGGGGGTGGGGGGTGGGGGTTAGGGTGGGGGTGAGTGAAAAACGGGGAACATTGGTGCTGGAAAATTACTCTGGTGGAGGGATGGGTGTTGGAACATTGTATAACTGAAACCCAATCATAAACAGCTTTGTAATATTCTATCTCAGTGATTCAATAAAAATAAAAATTGAAAAAAATAAAGCAGACACGAACACACAAACTGTGTGGAAAAAGGCATAAAATAGAAGGGAGTGCCAGTAGAAGAGAAGAAAGCAGAAAGTGCTAAACCAATATTTTAAATGATAGTAGATGAAAATTTTCCAAAATTCATAAACTCAAAATAGTGGATCCTAGAAGCTCAGACTACCAAGCACTGTAGCACTGTCCTCCTCTTGTTCATCGATTTGTACCAGTGAGGTCTCCATTGTGAGACTTGTTTCTGTTTTTGACATGTCGAATACGTCACGGGTAGCTTGCCAGGCTTATTATAAACATCAGCATTTTCTTCTTTTTAAAAAACTGAGTGATTTTACACATTCTAACACACCACTTTTTCTTTGTTCATCAGTTGATAGGTATTTAGGTGGTTTTCATATCTTAGCTGTTGCAGGAATGTGGCTATGATGTAAGAAAAAACTATCTCTGCCAGATAACAATTTCTTTCCTTTTGGATAAATACCCAAGATTGTGATTGTTTAATGCTCTTTATTCAATTTTATCATTTCAGTATCAACAAAGTATATGTTAACCCTTCTTAATTAGAAAAAAATGAAGTTGCCACTTCTTCAAAATCTCAAGAAATCTTGCTCCCTCTACACTTTGACATGAGCCATTGGAGTTTCTTTGTACTAAGGGCAAAGCAAAGCAGCATGTGCCTATGCTCCATTCCACAGCCAGCTTCACTTCAGCTGACTGAAGTGCAATTAGCACAGAGGGTCAAATAAATCAAGTTTGGGGGCTGGAGAGGTAGTACTGTGGATAGGGCACTTGCCTTGCATGCAGTTGAACCAGGTTCAATCCCAGCATCACATACTGTCTCACGGGCCTCATCAGGAATATGATTATGAGCACTAAGCCAGGAGCAAGCCTTAAGTACCACCAAGTATGGCCCAATAAACAAAAGTAAATAAACAAGCCAACTTTAATATGGCAAGCAGTAGAGATCATTAATAAAACACAAACTGGGTGTTATTAAAGGAAATAATTTTGAAAAGGTAGAGACATATTTTTTTTTATCAATGAAAGTTCATGTTTTATTTTACCTGCCTGAATTTCTTGGAGGGGGAAACAAAAGGTTTTGCATTAGATTCCTTCATGTCGCCATTCAGAAATATTCATCGTAAAGCCGGAGGCATTATATAGCAGGGAAGGCACTTGCCTTGCATTCGGCCGACTTGGGTTCTATGACCAGCATCCCATATGGTACCTCAAGCACCACCACGAGTAATTCTTGAGTGCTGATCCAGGAGTAAGCCCTGAGCACAACCATGTATGGCCACAAAACAAAACACGAGAAGAAGAAGAAGAAGAAGAAGAAGAAGAAGGAGGAGGAGGAGGAGGAGGAGGAGGAGGAGGAGGAGGAGGAGGAGGAGGAGGAGGAGGAGGAGGAGGAGGAGGAGGAGGAGGAGGAGGAGGAGGAGGAGAAGGAGAAGGAGGAGAAGGAGGAGGAGGAGAAGTATCAGTAATAGTAGTCCAGCACCAGCACAAAGAGAGCCCATTTGTTCACAGCTTTGATGATCTCTGGGTCAGGAGGTCATTCCGACTTTGCCATTTTCTGCTCCTGGCAACAGATGGGACTGCAGTTCTCTATCAAGCATGATGGTTCCTTGGCCATAGGAGACCAATTCAAAATAATTTTCAGCAACTTGGTGAATAAACTCTTCCACTGAAGATGACACTACATCTCTAGGTATGTTTTATGAATTTAATGTCTTACAAATCTGCTTTAGTAAGATTTACATACATTGCTTGCCCTTGGATACTCATTTGAGTCCCTGCTTTCAAATACTGAGCATGAGCTTCTTCTAATTCAGTCCTTTGTTTCTATTGCTGCGGGGATCTGCTAAGAGATAGAACTCTCCCTGCTTATCCATAGAGCCTTACAGAGCATCTGGATGTTGTGATTTGATATACCAGCATGTCATGAAACTTGATTCTTACATTCAGCTTGGTTGATATGTGTATTTGATGTTGGTTGCAAAGTTGAGTAGCTGAGAAAATAAATGGATATATGCCCACTTGGAAATATTTTGACCGATTTAAATACTTTCTTTGCATTCCAAGGAGCCTAGGAAATATTATGTGGAATGCAGGTACCATGCAGGTTTTCTTATTTTATTCTGGAGAAATGAAGACTCACACTTGAGTTTCAAATACTACCTGAACTCAGGTGAGAAATGAAGTCTGAATCAGGAAAATTATAGAAAAAAAATGCAGAGAAAGAAGCAAGTCTATTTAAATGTTATACTGAGCTCATTACTATTCAAACCAAATATTTTGCTATTAAAATCTGTTTAAGTCTGGGGGGGGGGGGGAACACATCCTAAAGTACATTTTCAAATATCACATCAGAAAAAAATAAGATAAAGATCAATTAGTAAAGAAGGGACAAAAAGAACTATTAAATTCTGTCTTCTAAGTTTTGCAAAAATGTTTTTGTGACCTTCCAAAAGTTGAGGTTTCCATTAAGAAATAGAAAATTGTCTTTCATTCCATGAAAGCTTGGTCTGCAATTCAGAAATGCATGGTGTATTGGATTCTAAGATGATGCAATTTCTAAAACTAAAAGGGTCTTATTTATTGATGCTAGCATAATTATGGAATAACTGTGCATAATAATAATGCTTTGAGATAATGTGCAATAGTTTTAAATTTACACGGAGAAATAATGAGACCAGTGTGGTCATTTTTAATGAGTTCAGAGGTCAGCTGTCGTACCAGAAGAGTCCAAAATACATGGCAGGTTAGTTTTGGGGTAAACTCCTCTGCGTCCTAGATTTTTGACCGGTTGAAGGCTACCCTATTAGAGTGATGAAGCTGAATGTGGGCATCAAAAATATTTTTACTTAAAATCAATTTATGATTTATCATCATGTAACATTGGATTTGTATACCTGTTTTACATATTTTGGCTTGTATAAAAGTTTCTCAATGGAAAAGTGGTCACCCATGGCAAAATTTTAGAAGTCCTGCTCTACAGAATTACCTTTTGTATGATTTCTAAGATACTTAACAGGTATTAACTAATTCTATCTCCCCAAGTTGTTTTTGAAAGCGATTTTTCAAACTCCTTAAAACTAAGACCAAGACTAAGTTTCTGCCCCAGGGCTTAAGAGAAAAGGTGACAGATAACTCACTGATTAACTGATGGTATCTGCTAATTAACTGCTTTTATTAAAGTACCAGCTTAAGTGGCAGTAAAATTCGAATCGTTTAACTTTCAAGAAAAACCATTTCCCTAATTTCCTTAAAATCCTTAAAGATGCCACATGTGAAACAAAAACATTAAAAACAAACGTTAGCCTTTTACTTGGGGAGGAGGGGGGAAGGAATGACTTCAGAATGGTGTGCTGCAGTGATACTAAACTCTTCTAAATCTTTGTGAAAAGCGGTAGTTTTGGGCCACCAAGAGATCAGCAGGCAGCGACCTTTAGATGGGGCAGAATCCGTGAAGGAATAATCCCACCGGAATCACCCTGCTGCAATTGCTCCTGCTTTTCCAACTGGGCACCAGCAGAAGCTATTCTGAGGGAGAGGCACCACTCGCCTAGCGTGATTAGAAACGAGCCGGCCTCCCGCTCCTCTGGAGCCGCACTCCCCCACAGGCTGAATTATAGCTCTCCTACCAGTCCCACGGCGCTGAATGATGTCATGAGATCTGCAGTTCAGGGAGATGAAAGGGATAAAGCAGAACCCGCTGGCACTAGGCAAAGCTCCCAACACAGTCCACAACCCAAGCTCGGGAGCCGGCAAAGCTGCAGCCCCAGCCCCTCCGCCCCAGCTCGGGAGGCTGCAAAGCCCCCACCGCGGAGCCTGCGGAAAAGAGGGGGAAGAAGAGAAAGGAATTAAACAACGTGGTGCGTGCTAAACAAAAGAATTTGTGGGTTAGAGGGCGGAGGGTGGCGAGCGGCTAGGAGAGAACTTTCTGGATATCCCTGCATGTGTATAAACTCAGCCCTGGCCTTTGATGTTCTGCAACTGATCAGCGATCAGATTACTGGCATTTCATCCCCCTGCTCGTCTGCCTTTGATCTGCACGGTTAATTTTATTTTCCTGGATTTGAAGTCTCGTCTGGGCTTGTGCTGACATACGTTTTGGAGGAAGGTAGCAGCGTTTGGCACACAAGTGCTGGCAGGGAGAAACGAAGTTGCCGAAAGGGTGAGTACTGGAAAGAATTTTGTTCGCTGCAGGTACTGCGCTGTAAATTCTGTGGGAGCTTTCACTTCGCTTTTCTGGTGCGTGCTAAGGAGCGGATGGCTTGACGTAATTAAAAACCCGGCATTTCTGCACTTGAGTAGTATATTAAACTACTACATGCATGTATCCGGGGGAAATGATACTCCGCTACCATTTATAGTCATTTGTCCAAAAGGGTTTGCAATCTGTCATGCAAATTTCTCTTGCAAGTGCGTGGTTCAAGCAGAACAAAACCCTCAAGTGCTTAACTTTAGCATGGAGCCAGTGCTTCAGTCTAACACCTGCTATAATCGGTCCAAATATTTGCAGGTTACTTTATTTAGTAAACAAACAGCTGGACTGTATTTGAGCTCTTGCTTTTCTTGTTTTCCTATGGAAGAGAGTATAGTGCATCTCTAGCAATGCCAATTAGATTATTTATTTTCTCACCTACAAGATGTAAACCCCTCAAATCTATTTCATTATGCAGTTTGTGTATCCCAGGGATCACTGAACAGGCATTCAAGTCTTGATTAAATCCTTTCATGTGTAAAGCTGAAAATTTTGAGCACAGTGAGAATAAAATTGTGCCACGTTTGGCTAAAAAGTCTTCCAGTGGTTTTCTGAAACCTTTGGAAATAATGCAAGCCTTATTTACAGAAACATTCTCAAGGTTAATATTCCCAAATTAACATTTACTTTAAATTTACAGTGACAGCTGCTGTGAGTTAAAATTCACCAGCTGTTTATGAAAATTATCTGGGCAATCAACAGCTTTTAGGTTACACAAAGTTTCTAGTCACATTTACACTTTAGTATATGCTCAACATCTCAAAGTCAAATAATATTGCTGTGCTGAATTTGAAATTCACTTTTTCATCAGTTCATTGATTTGCATGCACGTGATTGTGGACATGTACACGGTCAAGTCTTTACATTGAGATGCAAAATCTTAATATTGTGAAAAAGCAAGTACCTCATGTTTTCATTCGTTCATGTCAATATCCTAGATTTATTTGGACATTGTATTTAATTCTCATCATAATAGTCTACTTTATGCTCAACCACAAAGAAATCATAAATGATAAGAGAAGTTATTCTTGGGCCCAAAACTTTGATGAAGGAGGAAAAGTCTAATGAGTCTCCCTTTGTATGTAATTGTTTAAAGCAAATTAATTAAATGACTTTTCAAACTTTTCTCCTGATACAGAAGAGTGATTAGCATCATTTGTTTAATTTTAAAACTTTGATAGCTGTTAAAGATTATTTAAAGCCATACTAAGCTGATGATATATTCTTAATGTGTCACTAAGAATTTAATCTACAAAAGTTAGCTCTTGTTTTTAGTCATGCCAAGGAGGCATTATGCTTTTGTTCTATTGACAAACTAAAACTGCAATTTCATAATATTCTAGAGTATCAGTTTGATTAATTTTTTTCATTTGTTTTTAAAAAACTTCTATTTAAATCATAAATGCCATACTAATGTTCATATTTAGATAAAGAAAATTAATGATTAATTAAAATGATGATTAGAGAGGATGCCTACAGAAGTACTATACTTATGAACTCAATCATTTAATTCAGGATTTAAAATATTTTTAAATGACTACTTATTTTGCCATGAGGCTCATTTTAGCAAATACAGACTCTCAGCACAAAACAAAGGGGAGAATTAGCAATTATCTGATTAATTTAGACTTTGTAGAAAACTAGCCTGGGCAAGTCAAATCCTTGAAAATCCACTCAATGTCTGAATTAACTCAGTCAATTGTTTACTCCTTGAGTCTTTATTGAGGAATGAAACAAATTATATTCAATTTAAAAAGACAGATGCCTATTGTTCAATATACAGGTATAGTTTAAAAAGGTATTTCTAAATTATCACATGATATTCTTGTTTTTGATTTAAATAGACATATTCCTTAATAGTTCCACTGAAAAATTTCCAAAGCACTTTCCTATCTATTGCTTCAATAATAGCTTTGTTACTGCAAGTCTTCAAAAGACTTTTTTCCATTCCTGATTCTGTCACTGATTAGCTATGTGACCTTAAGAGAGTCACTTTGCCAGTTTTCTCTTGTATGCAATGAGGGTGGAAATTAGATAATACTCATAAAATAAGTAGTGCTGGAACTCATAGAGCCATTTTACAGATGAGAAAACTGTCTAGAGAAAAGTAACTTGACTATCTTAACTAAAATTATTGCGGATTAGTTTTCCAATTTGCTCAAGCTGGGTCCCATATTCTTTCTAGTCTACCACACAGAGTCTATTTTCCAGCAACTGCTCAAACAAATTAAGGTGATCAGAAAGATGAAGATAACTACTTCCAATGGAAATACATTTTTTGTTTCCATGATAGATTTGTCAGTCAATTGGATTAGTCTGGTGATTTCTTAATTGTTCCTTTTGCTTTTGAATTTTATTATTTACCATAATGTGCATATGTTTAAATGATTTTTACATAAACTTGTATGTGCATATGTAGTGTGTTTTGTTTTGGTTTTTAAGCCATACCTAACAGTACTCTAGGCTTATTCTTGGCTCTGTGCTTAGAGGTCACTCCTAAAGTTGCAAGGCAAGCACCTTTCTCTCTGTATATCTCTCTGGTCCTATATGTATATAATTATATATTTTTGTATGCGTTTGTGATCACAGATTTTATATTATATGAGCATGTCTTTGTATGTTTCTGAGTAATTGATGTTTTCTTAGAAGATATTAGTGAGTCTATGAAAAATTGAAGAGCTGGGTCAGAGAAGTAAGTTTCAGAAGGCAAAACAGCTGTTTCTCTTATAACCATCATTAAAATCTCACATAAAGCTTTAGAAATTATTTAGTAACATCACTAATATTTATTAATCCAACACTAATTCATTAACTTATTATTGATTTTAATATTTATTATTGATTATAGTATTTACTGAGGACTGTGTGCCACAATTATAACTATATTTTAAAATACTATCTTACTTAACAGAAAATCAGTTTGTCATTCCCATTATACAGCTAAATAAACTGAATCTCAGAAGGCCTAAATAGTATGCAAGTTATGAAAACTGATTTAGTGCAGCATCATCTGATTTCCAATCTTGGGTCCTTCTATTCCTCAAGGTTAGGCAGCTGATTCACTCAAGGCATTGACCTCAGACAGAGAGCAACAGCTTCTATTAGCAAAATGGATTTATTTGGATGAGCTGTTCCTGTTGTTTGTTTTGAACCATGTCCAGCGGTGTTCAGGGCTTACTCCTGGCTCTGTGCTCAGGGATTACTCCTGGTGGGACCATATGTGGTGCCAGGTGGGACCATATGTGGTGCATGTAAGGCAAGTGCCTTTACCCCTGTGGTAATTTTCTAGTTCCAGATGGATTTATTTGAAAAGAACAACAAAAGCGCACTTTAAAGTGCAGCCCCATGTGAGACACATGTGAATTTTTTCCACCCCCTTATATAGCTCTTCTAGCTAAAATTTTTGGGCAAAGAAGAGACTCCCTCTTCTTTCTGTGCACAAAACATCACCACTCTGAGTTCCAGATGCAGGCATCTTAGAGGTCTTGTAGTTTGCTGGTTTCACATGAATGGACATGTTCTCCTGACTCCTCCTTTCATTTAAATGGGGATTATAGAGGATGAAACTTAACTAAAAGCAAATATTACAGTAAAAATGTCTTTAAAAGGGGTGTTTCCTTTTCTTTTAATATATCATCATATCAGTTTTTCAAACTGAATTTTTCACTAATTGACCTAGATTCTTTGGCGATAAAGGATCTCAAAATGGAATCAATTCTCTCTTGACTCCAGGACACCACAAGTCTCCATCTTTAGTTTTGTTAGAGTCCCTGAATCAGCCCAGGACACACTGGAAAACTGACAATTTGGGGGCTAGAGTAATGGTAAGAGGGGTAGGATGCTGGACTTTCACATGCCAACCTGGGTTTGATTCCCAGTACCCTATATGGTCTCCCAAAATTACCAGGAGTCATCCCTTAGAGCAGAGCCAGGAGTAAGCCCTGAGCACCAAGGGGTGTGGCTAAAAAGAAAAAGAGAAAAAAATTTGATAATTTGGTACATCTTTAAAAATTTATCTTTAAAAAGTTGTCTCTTGAGTCTACCTATTTGAAGAAGACACCACTCTGAAGTCACCATAAGTAGTTCAATACCATCCATGTGACTTAAATTTGCTGTTGGGCGAAAGAGAGGAAAGAGAAGAAGGGTAGGTGATAAATCAGGGTTCAGGAGATACTATCAAACCATTCCTTCTGAAAGAAAACTGCATTCCCTTTAAAAGGAACTGACTTAATGAAAGTTTTCTCCATTATGTTAAATATCCCCGATGTCTGGCAGCTCTATAGGCTAGAATCATGGACCCAAGAAACCTATTCCTAACTCAGCCATGTGCAAAATATTTACTAGGAGAAAGAGGCACAGATCAAAAGATCAGCTCTTCTCATTAGACACATGGAAAGTATCTGGTCAAAGGTGATGGTGTCACCCATGTTTTAATGGAGAGTTACAGCTCATCACTTTGCTCTGTAAGTGTCACCACTATGACATTGTGTGGATAAAAATAACCTCCCTGGTCTTTTCTTGAGTATTAGTTTTTGCATTAAATGCATGGTAAATATACTAAGAACCAGGGAACTTGATTTTGGTTGTGGTTTTATAGTGAGCCTGTTTGTGACCCTGAGTGGTCATTCAATCTCTGGTGCAGTTTATAATTCACAGGAATGGGTGCTGGAAATAATTTATATGGTGGGGTCTTGGTTATTTTCCTTCTATTTTTAAAGTTAAAATGAGTTAAGTTGTAATGAACTATATTAGTATTTGGAATTATCCCTCCCATTTATTAATGTAGTTAATAAAAAAATAATAAGCAGCTATGAAATGACAGATATAATTTAAGATTCTTTGCCATTTTCTTGATGAAGAGGAGCTTAAACCAGAAATTGCTAGAAAGTTAAATAATTTTCTTACTTCTG